GTGGTCTGTGTATGTGTGTGAGTGCATGTGTGTGTGTTGTGTGTGTATGTGTGTGTGTTATGTGTGTGTTGTGTGTGTGTTGTGTGTAGTGTGTGTGTTTGTGTTGGGGGAGGGATATGGGGGGTGTGTTTGTGTGTGTGTGTGTGTGTGTGTGTGTGTGTGTGTGTGTGTATGTGTTGTGAGTGTTTGTACCTTGTCCACTACTTAGTTCTTGGCATTATACTACAGAAACCTCTCTGAGTGACAATGCAGTTAAGGACCAATTCTCAGTTCCTTAGTTACTTAAGTAAAAAAATTAGCTGTTCATAGCTTATTTGGTCATTTTATATTTTTTTGGTTTTTTTTGACAGTCTTATTTTACATATCAATCCCAGTCCCCTGTTTCTCCCATTCCCCCCATCATCTCCCCACCGCACCCCACTACTCAGAGATGGTGAGGACTCCTTTGGGGGATCATCAAAGTCTGTCACACCATTTAGGCAGGGCCCAGGACCTCCCTCTGTATCTAGGCTCAGAGAGCATCTCTCCATAGGGAATGGGTTCCCAAAGCCCATTGGTGTACTAGGGATAAATACTGGTTCCACTACTAATGACACCATAGACTGCCCAGGCCCCCCAACTGACACCCACGTTCAGAGGGCCTAGTTCAGTCCTGTGCTGATTCCCAAGCTGTCAGACTAGGGTCCCTGAGCTTCCACATGCTCATGTCACCTGTTTCTGGGTGTTTCCCTAGCATGGTCTTCACCCATTGTTCTTTACTCCTCCCTCTCTACAACTGGATTCCAGGAGTTCAGCTCAGTGCTTAGCTGTGAATCTCTGCTTCTGTTTTCATCAGCTACTGGGTAAAGACTCTATGATGGCATTTAAGGCAATCATCAATCTAATTATAGGGGAAGGACACTTAAGATAGCCTCTCCACAATTGCCTAGATTTTTATTTCAGGTCATCCTTGGGGAAACCTGGAGATTTCCCTAGTGCCAGGTTTCTCCTTAACCTCATAAAGGCTCCTTCTATCAAGGTATCTCTTTCCTTGCTCTCCCTTTCTATCCTTCCCCCAACTGGACCTTTCTGATCCATGTCATGTCATAGTTGTCATGCTGCCCCCCCCTTCTCCCCTACTCTCTCTCCTATTTCCCTCCTTCCTTCTTCAAACTCCCAGCTTACTCAGGAGTTCTTGTCTATTACCCCTCTCCAGGGGTCCATGTATGTCTCTCTTTGGGTTCTTCTTGTTCCCTTGCTTCTGTGGGGTTGTGGATTAAACAATTAACATTGTTTTAAATATTGCTGTGGCTGGTCATCTTGCTTTTTGTTCCCACTGAGAACACTTTTAAATTTTGAACTGTAGAGGCCATAAGGGAGACTTCTGTTTTGATTCCATATGAAACAGCGGTAGTGTAAATTTAAACATACTATACCTGTTATGATAATGCTGGAGGTGAACCTTGGAGGATTCCATGACAGGCAAGGGCTACCAAGGTCAAGGGACAAACATGCCAGGGAGACAGAGCTTAAGTGAGAAGTTTTATTAGAAAGGGAAGGGAGGGAGAAGAAAAGAGAAAAGAGAAACACAGAAACAGAGAGAGGACAGAAGAGAAGAGGGAGACAGGAAAACTCCTGTCTGCCCCAGCAGAACAGCAGGAAAGAGAGAGAGAGAGAGCAGGAAAGCGAGCTTAGAGGCCTTTTAAACGGGTCCTTTGCACCTGGGCTCTGGGCTGACTAGGCTCCTGCCTGAGTGCATTCTGCCAGGTGATGGGGCAGACAGCATAATGCCTGAATCCTTAGAGCATCACAGAATACCATCATCTTATAATTGTTTGCTGTTGAAAGTAATTACTAGTAACTTTTAGGCTTATGTTTAATATTTTAATCTTTCCTTCTGTCTGACCCAAAGTGACAGTATTAAGGAATACTGAATATCTGGGCAATATTACAGTCAGTGGTGTGAACACTGAGCATGCATCTTACAGTTAGAAAGGATGTGTTTATTTTCCAAAAAGAGCTTTGAGAAAATACTCAATAGCTTACAATGTTACATTTTTTTAAAATACGAAGTTGATGATGTTTCTAAGGAATGACTGTTGACTTAAGGTGTTTATTTATTTATTTATTTATTTATTTGAAGTAGCTCATGCAAAAAGTTTCCTAATTGTACTTTCCCACATCAGTCAAGTGCCTCTTCTGACATAAAAGACACTGAGCCTTAAGAAGTTTTTTTTGTTCCTCTACTGGTCAGCAAGACTATGCCACCCTCTCCTTACCCAGCCTGCTGACATTGTCTTGTTAAAAAGAGAATCATCTCCCTGTTCCTTATGGGAAGTTGCCCTGGAGCCTGCCAAGTGCCCAGGAGGCAGCCACTTCCCTCAGCCTTTATTACACTGCCCCCTGGACCTCACCAGGTGGCTTTGCAGTCTAAAGCCCTGAGGTGACACCTTGGTTTATCTAGATGAACACTGTCTTCTGTGCACTTCACTAAAGTTCAATGTGATTAATCTCAAGTTGCATTTATGCAATGAATCATACAATTGTTCCCTTTAAATAAAACTAATGATGGAATTTAAGGAAAGCATGGGTAATGTTTTAAGTACTAGTTGTTCCTGAAGCTTTTTATAATATCCACTGCAGGGTAGATCAGGATTTTTTCTTAACAAATCATGTTTGTTTTCATTTCTTACAACTAATCTCTCTCTGTTAATGTCTGTAAATGAGAAATTGCATCTGCATCGATGAATGACCTTGTAGTCTCCTATATACTGGGATGTTTTATCAAGAGTTACCCAGGTACAAACTTTGAGTACCTTATTGTTATCACTACATATTTAAAATTAAGGCAAAGAATAAGGAAAGTCAGGTGGAAGCTACTTTTTACAATGGAAACTGCTATTGCTTTAGCAAAATGAAATTTTGCAAAACTGACAATATTTTCCTTTTTTGACCTGTGCATGCAAAAACCATGGCTGTCATCTGAAAGGTGATAAGAGACAGTTTATTTTGGAATCATTTTGTGTGACCATGGCCTGGGAACACAGGTTACTCCAAAGTTTATCTCCCAGCATTTCATAAGGCCATACAGTTTTACAGAACATGAATAGTCATAAATCAAGGCAAATTTAAAGTACGTTGGTGGTACACCAGAGAGGTCATTACAGCCGTATGGGAAAGGCTTAAACATACCTGATGATATGTTTAGCTTTGGGGTTGCTAGAAGTTAGTTCTGACACAGATTTGGGCAAGGAATAGCTATTTAGGAGTGTTAAAGCCTGCTCAAGTTGAGGTTATTAGGCTGTGGAGCTGCAGCATCCCAACCCCTCTACATTACCACACTTCTAATGTCAGTCTTCGTGGACACAGCTTCTTTCCGGGAATTCTCTTTCATAGTCCCTGTTGTAAAAATGTCAGGAGGTACACACAGACACAGACACAGACACACACACACACACACACACAGAACACACACACACACAGAACACAGACACACAGCACACAGACAAACAGACACACAAGGACACATGCACACACACCACAGAGACACACATACATACAGACAACAGACACACACCACAAACACACACACACACACACACACACACACACACATACCTGTCCAGTCTTTGGTTTCTTTAAGGACACACATCTCCAGTAACATGTTCTCTGGTGCAGGACATAGTTCATCCCTTCCTCACAAGTTTCTCAGTAATCCTCTCATTGCATCTTTGCTTGATGGTACCTCTAAGGTTTTGCTTCAGTGTTCTTTCTTAGAAAAGCCCTTATGGGTGGCTTTAATGTGGGTCTACCCCCAATATCTTTTTTTTTCTCTTTGCACTCTAATTTTATGCTAGCTCTCAGGCTCCTTGCACGTCTAGTGAGGTAGGATACTGAGAATGCTGATTAAATGACCTGAGAAGCACCGAGAAATACCCAGAAACCACTATGGCATCTCAGATTTGCTGGAGCCCAAGATTCAGGTTGTCTGTTGCCACTGAGGATCTTAGAAGCAACCATACCTCTTCCACCTATGAGGGTCCTAAGTGTCACAATACTGCACAGTGGGGAATTAAATGAGCCACCAGAGTTGTGTCTCAGTTTCCTAATGAAAGGCAAATATTTCTACATGACTACTAGTCTTCATGCCATCCAGTAGCCTGCTGGCAGCTCTAGAACTCAGTTTCAATCATCTTCCCATTTACAAGATCCAAGTCAGATGTACAGTATCGTAATGTGATATTCAAAATAAACAAAAACAAAGTCATTTACTTATTTTGCACAGGGCAAGACACATGTGTGCCACCACATACCTCTCGAGGCCAGAGGACAGATAGAAGGTCTATTTTCTCCTTCTATCATATGGATTCTGGGGATTGAATTTAGGCCAATGGCTTTAACATCAAGAGCTTGTACATATTAAGCCATCTGGCTGACCAAAAGGCTTTTTAAAAAAATTTATTCTGCCTCCAGGACTATAAGTTAGAATTGTTTCTTATTGTTCACCTCAGGATCTGCCTGTTGTTTTGCCTGTCACTTATTTAATAAGCTATTTATTGTGCTAAATTATAATGTGCTAGGACCACGCTTAAAGTTCACACCCTTCATGTTTCTCACTAGGTGCATACACGCACATAGGTACAAAGAGCCAGTTTACAGTTCCCCTTAGTGTTACAAGATCAGACCACCTTTTAATCTAGTAACTGACAGAGAAGTTTACCAGTAAGTTACCAGTTCCGTCAATATTATGCTTGATCCCGCTGGTCGCTAGGTGGTATATGTCTTTCGTATCCATGTCTCATTGAGTAATGTTTGGATAGCTCTTGTAATTGCAATGGGGCTTTCTTGAAGTATAAACCATTCCCAGATCACAAGGTTATTGCCAGTTGCTTTGTTCTCCGGCTATGTAGTATTCCTCTTGGGCTATTGGTCTTTCAACATGCTGGTAGGGGATTAAAGTAAATCATTTAATCCATGCAACATGCCACTCAATAGTATGCTTTTGGAAATTATTTCCACAGGAGCATCAGTGAAAGCAGTGAGATATTGACACTATAGAAAGAAACTGACAGCCTACTCCGTGTATTGATCCTGCTCTTCTCTACAAACACGACTCGACTCCCTACCACAGCCTGTAAGTGGTGCCTGCTGCGGTTGCTAAATTGCTGTGTAAATTATTTATTACTTGGACACCTTGTAAAGATATCATTTCTTCTTGTTGGACTTAGTTGTGCTTTCTAGGGTCTCATATATATTTAAAGGTTTGAAAACATATACTGACCACAATGATATGGTGCCCATCACTTCCTATCACATACTACAGATACGACTTACCTGACTAGTGTGCTTGCATCTCAAACCAGGTTCTTAGTTTAAAAATATTGCCTATAAAAATCATCATCATTTGTATACATAGAGGCCAGACTGCAGAACAGACAGTCTGGCTACTTTCAGCCCAGTACTGGACAATTAGCATACTTTAAAAGTAAAACATGTCAAATACTGGAAGAATATTTATTTGGTGTGGGGGAAATCAGTTCCTGTTGACAATTGCTTATCAGAGAAACATAATTCTCTTGAACTTTCATAGCATCAGCACTAAAAAAATTAGAAATGTGTTCTGTTAGAAATTATTCTTTATCGTTTAGTGATTTTTTGGTGATGTTTCTATGGACGAGAATGGTTTGTTATTCATGATTCATATAGTAAGAAATATGTTTTTATGTCCAACCGACAGGGCAGCTTGCACAGATCATGACTTTTGCTTTTAGCTGTTTGAAGTTCACACACATGCATGAGTGTGCACATGCACCTGCACACACAAGCACACTAATGCACACATCACACTCCGCAGAAGCAGATTCATGTCCGGCAACTCTCTGCCCTCCTCTACCAGATTTTTACATGGCATGCTCTGGGTGAGTGCAACTTTGTGAATGCAGGCTAGAGTTACCTGAGTGGCCTTTAGGATTTGGAAATCCACAAAACCACTCTTTATATCCACCCTTACAATGGATGGATGGGCCAGGGAAATGGCTCAGTCAGCAAGTGCCTGCTGCACAAACCCACAGACCTGAATTAGAGGAGCATCCTTGTCACTGACAAGCCAGCAGAGAATGATCGAGAAGCTTAAGTTCCAGTGTGACACTGTCTCAAAAAGACAAAGTAAATGGGCATGAGACACCTTCTATCTAGCCAGAGAACCTGAGCTCAATTAATTTTTTGCTTTTTAAAAACAGTTCATATTATAAAGTCTAAATTATGAGCGAGGAACTGTAATGTGCAGTCTTCTTGCCAGCCACCTGGGTCCCGTTGGGACTTTAGCCTCCTAATAATACACAAGACACTATATTAATTATGAAGCTGTTGGCCATTTGCTGTGGTTTCTTAATGGCTCGCTCTGACTTAATTAATTATTAATTATTAGCCCATAATTACTAATACATATTTCTATAAGGACTTGCCTTTCCAAGGACAGCACCCTGACCCATCCTCTCTGCCCTGGGATCACATGGTGATGACCCACTCTTGTCTACATTCCCCAGAATCCTCCTCAACTCCTAGTCCCACCTATCTTGCTTCCCTATTGGCCAACAGTGCTGTATTTACATACACACAGAAGGACTTCCCCCATCAAGGGGCCATGTCACTAGGTATATATGATGATTGTGACATGTTGCTGATATTTAATCACAATAGATATATGATGAAAAGTAAAAGTACACAATTAGATATTTTTTTCATATAGAAATTTGGATCCGTAAAACGCTATCATTGTTACTTATGATGAAAAGGGGAATGCCCAGCTGTTATGGGCCAGAGGTTTGAATCATGGAGACTTATAAGTAGAGAACTGGCAGCTATCTCTAGTCAGGGTCTGTGCCCAAGTCATGGGCATGAGGAAAACAAATTGGAAACAAACATGGCTTTCAAAGGAGTTTATTACATATTTTGGCATCAATTCCTGGCAGGAAGTAAATCTGTTTCTCACTTTTTTTCATTTATTTTTAATTTAAAATGACATATCATGTATTTATTGGAGGTTGGGGTTCTCCAGTGGACAACATACAAGAGTCAGTTTTCTGTTTCCACCTCTTGGGTCCCTAGAGTCAGTCATCAGGTTTGGCAGCAAGTACCTTTACCCACTGAGCCATCTTGCTGTTCCTCATTTATTTTTGAGGCAATCTGTGAAGTGCCATAGTGCAGGCTGGATGCAAATTTGTTTAGTAGCTATTGCATTGCTTTGAATTTGTGGTCCTCCGGCTTCAGTCTTCCCAGTGCTGGGACTATGGAATGCCCTGTTTCCAGGTGAATGCTAGCTAGTTTCTCACCTTCATTCCCGTGTTGCACTGTCCAAGGGAAGTCCACACTTTCCACCCAGTTATTTGCTTCCTCTTCTTCTTAACCAGGGCCTAGCATCTGAGACTATAGAGAGTATTTGTTTGTCCTATGATTGTTTCCTCTAAAGTGATCAAGCTAGATACAGAGAAAGGAAAGCTTTTGCCATAGTCTGCATCTGTCAATAGCATCATAATGACACAGTAAAGAGGAAGCTATGTGCCCCAGAAAGAAGAGAATTTTCATATAAGATTTATGGTCTCACACTAGCTTGCAGCATTATTGTGACCACTTGCTCGAGTGCATGTTATATGTGCCTGGCTGTCACCAATAACAATGTAACTAGCTGTATCCTTTCCTAGAATAAATGATTTTTTACCTTAAATGTATCTCGTGTATTCCTCCCAACAGTTTTATGAGATGGCCTTTGTATCTTCATTTGCAAGAGTAGTGCTAAAGCCTGTGAATACAATTTGTCCCATGCCACACCGAAGCCAGTTGAGTTTATATCCACCCCAGTTGATACACCCGCTCATTCTGTTCACCCAGTAGCCACAAGAGGAAGGCCAAAGATACATATTTAGTATTGAGCCATAAACAATAAGAGCAGCTTCTCTTGAGGAAAAATAAATCAGGGAAAAACAGCACCTATTCTAGCAGGTTGTGTGTATTTCCTTCCACCACCATCAAAGAGATGGGGCGGGGGAGGGGGAGGGGGAGGGGAGGGGATGGGAGGGGGCTCTCCTAACCGCCAGGAGTGTGTGCTAAAGTGCTGTAGAGAACTGTTTTCAGCACTGACAGTGATTCAAGGTCAAAATTCAAAATCAAACCATTGCTTCCTCTGAATGATTCTCACTTTTATGTCATTACAAACTAGGAAGCTAAGGGTCTACCAGGACAGAACTAGACTTCCGTAATCTAAGAGTTGCAGCTTTTCCTCTACCATGAAGACTTTCTGGAGTCACGACGCCTTTCTTTCTTATGAAATGAACCCTGAAGGGAAAGGTTATGAAGTTATATCTTGAAAATGTTGATACGTAATGAGAATTTACGAGAAAGATGCAAGATTATCTATTCTATTGTATCCTACAAGTGTGGAGTGCATAAAGTTGAACAGTAAAGTGTTGATTTTAAAAATAAAAAAATATGGTATTCAGTTCAGGGGAAATTATTTACACATTAAAATTTTCAAGAATCGTGTAGTTTCTGTTTTATCTATTTGATCAATGTTCTTTTAAAACATTTTTACATAACCTTCATAATACTTTTTCTTCTTGCCTGTTCAAACATTTGATAAGCATATATTATTCCCCTTCATACAATAATTTGAATGTTTATTTGCAACTTTGATTTGTTTCACTAGGCCGGGTTATGTGTTTAAAAAAAGGTATTGAATCCTGATTACTATTATTACTATTAATTTCTTTGTAGTGGCAGGAGTATCATTAACACATGGATTTGCATGGTATGTGGAGGGCATGCACACAGAAGTAAACATGTGGAGGTCAAAGGTTAGCTTTGGGACAGTCAAAAGTCAAGTTTTCAGGGTTTTCTATGCCTGCTGAGCCTTCTCATTAATCACTTTTAGTCATTAGAATTGTATTTCTGATTAACTGTGTGTGTTTGTGTGTACGTGTGCTAACACACCTGTGTGTGCTTAAAAGTGTGTGTCTGTGCTCCTGTAGGCACATGCAGACTATAGTTCACATGTGAACATCAGAAGGCCTCAGGAGTAGGTTTGCTTTTCCCCCTTTGGGTTTTGATGAACTCAGGTCATCAGGTTTGTACTATAAGTGCTTTTACACTGAGACATCTCTGCTTGGTTTATGTTTTTACTATGATTTATTGTTTTCTTAAATTTGGAAGTTTGTCCCAGGTAAATTGTCATACATTTTTTCCTTATTTTCTCTGTTGCTCTGTTTTCTACTACTAGAAAAAAATGGTATTTTAAAATGCCATATGCCTACTGGAATAAGAATATTCCAATATATGTATATATTTGTATACTTAAATGTAATATATATTTACAGATATACATGCACACCAAGTAATTATTAACCTATGTTTTCATGAAAAATATGACTCCATACTTTGTTTTAAAATGTGGGAAAATCTGAGTGATAAAAATGCCAAGCCTTCTTACAGAAGGCAAAGATAGTAATGGAGTTTACAAAATTGTGCTCAATAATTTAGCAGGAAGTATGAAATAAACACCACAGGAAGACAAAGAAAATGAAATACAGGAGGACTAGAGATGGGCCATCTCCTCAAGGACCCAGGTTCAATTCCTAGCACCTTCTGGTAGACTCAAAGTTATCTGTAACTCCAGCTCTAGAATATTTTATTCTGGCCTCCGTGGGCACTAGGCATGCATGTGGTGTACAGATCTTCATGCAGGCAAATCACCCATCTGTATATAACCAAATAGAGTATTTAAAATGTGTTTAAAAAATAAAATAAGCAAAAGCAGTTACCCTCCAACTCCTTCATGCTCTGTTCAAAGCATAGAAGGTGTCCAAGGAAAACTTATATGGTAGATACATGAAAATGGAAGCCATTTTTACTTCCTGAAACAATGTGACATACACTAAAAAGGTCTTTCATTAGAGTTGCACAAGTTGGGATTTGATTTGTGACATTGAAAATACAGTTTCTGATCAGAGATCAGTTTGTTTTTATTGGACATAACAAATAAAAAAGATTCCTCATGGAGGGCCTCACCCTCCCTGGGGACCGGAGAACATTTGGGTTGGGGCTGGGGCCTAGAGGGCAGGGGAGGAGGGAAGGGAGAGGGAG